GAATTTCTTATCAAATATAAGCTCTGAATGTCTCTTATATACAGTTCTCTGGCATTGTTTGGACAGACATTCGCATCGGAATCGGTCCTCAAGTGATAGACAACTCAATAGGACTTCACATAAATCGTCACCAAATCTATCAAAACTGTCTTTACTATACATTTTGGACTTAATTTATAAATTAATTATAATAGACTTAAATATATTAAGATATTTTGTGTTTATTAATATGAGACATAACATCTACTGTAGTGTACTAAACAATAAAATTAAATGGCATTGAATAATAGTATGAGTCAATAAAATACTTGATTACTGTGATATATATTTCATAACATGAATGCAATCAGTATAATAAGTTAACAACACTTTAATACAGTTTTCCCCAAACTATATACAATCCGTTTAATAATTTAATAAAGTTTAACGTATATTCTGTACTATTATATCATAAACTTTGTCATAATATCGGTTACTATGAATCAAAATTGTTAAAAATATAACGCTACTAAGTTAATATATAGTATTTGTAATAAACAGTATATATTGCGTTATGTAATTGTTATTGTTTTAATGTATTTATATAACTGTATTCCAAAAACATTTATGAATAAAATAACATCATATTTGCATTTAACACAGATTACAAATAATTATCTATCTATAATATGTTTAATATTTTATGTTAAATAATTTTCAATATATTTATGTTTAATCTTTAAGTCTTCAAAACTTTCATTATTAGTTATAAATAAATTTTTATGTATATTAATAGAAAGTTAATTAACGTCAGTTTGTAGTTTAGTTTAAAATATTGTGACAAATATAAATAATAATACTAGTAAAAATTGGCATCAATTTATTTTGTTTAGCTTAATTTAATTTTCATATTAGATCTTTAATTATAACATATATTATATGAATAAATCATAACCAGATAGGCGTTAGAGCTGGGTCAACATATTAGCAATATTAGTAAAACTTTCATATAAACTTTTATAGAAGTAGCACTCGGATCAATTTTATTTAAACCCACTAATGCTTTTCTGGTTATGATTTAGTCAAATGGAAACCATGTATTTCCCGCTGTTAGATTCCAAATAATAAATACCTGGTATAGTTTTACAAATTATGAGCACAAATTATATGATTACTGCAATTTTGCCACAAGGAATTCATAGAAGAAATTATACACTGGATCGTTGAATTCCCCGGCGATTAGATGTGCCTTAAACCTTGCAATCATTGTCGCATCGATTTGAATACTATTTCTGGAGATTCTATTAAATTCTTGCATCAGTTCTGTTGTCGTCCGGTTCGCCGGGGTTTCACTCGTCATACGATTAAATAAGTCGTTAATTGTATCGATATTGACGCCGACATCACATAAAACCCGTTTCCAACTCTTCTGTATCCGCATCAGTAGTTTGAATGAAAATTCTTGTTTTCTAATATAGTATTCAAAGAATAATAGCGTTTTTAATTATTAACACAAATATCAGTTAATAATAATTAACACATACTTTTCTATAAGAGACTCAAACAGACATTTACCAATAATACCTATATTGTTTATGTCCTGTTTATTTAGGCTGGCTGAATTTTCGCTATTAATTATAATGAGATATTAATTATTAAATGATATATTTTACGCTTTTTATTACAGCTTACTTATGTTGTGGAATATTAGTTTCATCGAATTTATCGAGATCATTTTGGTTAAAAATAATGTCCATTAATTTAACATTGATGCCCTGGGTCACGTTTGTCGTAATAAACACATTCAAGTAGTTGAGTGCCAAATAACTAGCAACGCGTCTATGGTTTGTATACAAATCGTGAACACAGTTCAAAAATTGAGAGAATATTTCGCATGATAATAGAAAATCAATTAAAATGAGATCCGGATCATATTGCTGGTGAAATACACGCCATTTAAGTTTCAGAAAATACCGCAAACAATGGGAACAGCACTCCATTTGCATAAACAGTTTATTGTTCTCCAGCCATGTATTATACGGTTTCACTAAATATTTTGAGTCAAACGTATTGTACGTACGAATTTGTTGGACAAATTTGCTCATGGTCTCTAGATTATCTAGGTTAGTTATTTATTATGAAAAATCAGATTCAATGTCACGATTAATATGCAGTGATTTTCATTGTATTTACTTGGCACAAAGTATCTTAGCAAGTACATTTGTTGATCGACTAAATGTTTTGCAACTTTCATGCCTTGCCGTAAATGCGAATCGATTTCTACACCTTGTTTAAAATGTGATTCTCGTACAAAATCGTCTGATGTGCATAATAATAGTTACAGTAATTATTAACTTGTTACATCATACTCTTACCCTTACCATCGATTGTGACGTTATTTCCTCTAATATCACATGAATCGCCAAACTTTACGTAAGGTCTACACTGACTATATTTGTGGTAAAAATATTGACACTTGCTTTCAATGCATTCATCGAATAGTTTGACGTCGTTTTCCTTGATTACAGCGCCGACCGATAATCTATTAAATCTAAGCAATATGTCGGAGCATTCGGGTCGTGTCGTCCAATCGGTCGGACCCCTCTTGGAGTACTCATTAGCACTCATTTCAAATAATATTCCGTAAATACTAGTCATTAAATCGGCTAAATCTGTATCATATGTTGTATATAATAGATCTCTGTAATCAATACAATAATAATAATAAAATAATTTCTTATTTAATAAGTTATTTAAAACATATCTTAAATTAAATCTCAATTTTCACTTACTTTCCATCCATAAAATATTTTCTATTCAATTCAAAGATATCTATCCCAATGAGTGCTAGACTATAGATATCAATCTTATGGTTATAGTCGGCGCCCATGGCTTCCGGTGCCTGATATCGAGAGTCTCCTACTTCTTCCGTATGGGTTACGGCAGACATGGGATGCGGTCCACTCGTACTGAACACCTCTTTGGACAGACCGAAGTCACATAACTTGACAAACCGTTGAGTTTTGGTGCCGTTCATAGCGATCAACACGTTATCCGGTTTGAGGTCTCTGTGAATGATATGGTTTTCGTGCAAATACTGCACACATTCTAGAAGTTCCCGAAACATATGCACCGCTATATAGCACTCGAATCTAGTGGTCATCCCAGCCTTGTTGTGTCCGCCGAATGAGTTTTGTCTCATTTTTAACACTTTTGCGAGATTTCCGAAACATAACTCCATTTGAAAGTACAGACAATTGTTTTCGACCCATGAATAGTAGTATTGAATCACAAATTCGGAGCGAATTTTAATTAAATGTTTCGTTTCATTCATTATGTACTGCACATCTTTTGGGTCTAAATTTGAAAATTATTAGAAAATTAATAGTTTATATGAAAAATGTTTTTAAATACTATTATTTGCTAATAATTATAATACAATAACAATAATAAATATTGTATATATTAAAATCCTTACTTTAATTACATTCTTATATCCTCTAGTTAATTGACTTTTCTAGGTATATAAACTTAGAAAACACCTAGTATACCTATAAACCTAGGTATACAAACCTTATTGTTACGAATTTTTAGTATGTATAAAATTATAAACATGAAAACTTTTAGACTGGATTTATAAACATATAACATTTGAATCTAGGTCTCTACAGGACTATAAAATTAAATGTATAATAATAAACACACCTTTAAACTCAGATATTTTGATCGCATATAATTCACTGGTATGCTTATCCCGAACTTTATATACAGTTCCGTAACCTCCGTGACCAAGTTTATCTAAAACATCAAATGTGTTTTTGTAGTACCCATTAGCTGTATCGGCGGGTATATCTTAAAAATAAATGAACGAGAAAATCGTCATAGATAGTTTCCAATTAGAATTGTACAATATACAGTAAGTTTACATTATATTAACGATTAAAAAATGTCATCCAGAACAAAGTAATAAAAATGAACAAAACTCACCGTTATTTTCTGTTGAGTACATATCTTGTGCAGTATTTAACCGTCGATTTGTATGATTACTTCGTTGGCAACCGTTGACCGCAATCGTGGTTACAGTCATTTGTAACTCATTCGCATAGAACTCATCAAATGTTTTACATTTTGTTTCGATTATCTCATATTTATTTGATCGGAACAAGTGGTACACCGTATCGTCCGTAATACCCGCTATTATAGGCCGGGCTTCCGAACTATCTTTGCCTTCATATGAATTTATTTGCCGTATCTCATCGAATACCAGGTCATTTAGTAGCTGTAACGGATTCACCTCGCTCTTTTGAAAAGCTCCGTCAAAATATACATATATATTACCGTCAATGGACAGCATGTATACAATGAATAGATTAAAGCAAATATCCTTGATGAATGTCACGTTGTCCAGGTTAATTAAGGTGGGCGTATACGAAGGGGTGAATAGTCGAATCGCACCCCATATAAACACCCGGCCATTACTTGTTATAGCAAACGATGTGCTCTCATAACCAATCACTTTCTCAATGATGTATTTACCGGGAAATCTGATCCTCGTCGGGGTCGCTACAACCCTCGCCCTACCAGCACCTACCTGTCCACTGGCATTAAAACCCCAACCGTATACGTGTCCGTTAAATGTGAGCGCAAGGGTGTGATTAAATCCACAACTGATTTGCCTGAACATGTCTTTCTGATAATTGAATGCAATATCATTTGGAGAATTATATACGACATCATTATTTACACCCCTCCCTAGTTGTCCCCAATTATTACGACCCCAACTGTATACGTGATTATCACGATTCATAGCTAATACAAAATCTTGTCCGTTGACAAACTGCTGTATACAATATGGACGTAATCCCGGCACTGTTTCCGGTGCACAGACGGTGCGATTGTGTCCTCGTCCGAGCTGACCCTCACTATTACTGCCCAATCCATACACGCAATCATCGTTTGTTACAAACAGTATATTATGTCCTTTAAAGTCATCGAAAACATAGAATAATTTAATTACTTGTTTGAGATTTTCGGGGATTTTATCACAAATATTAAACTTTTGCACAATTGATGACATTTCTAATTAATAATAAATTATATATTTATGATTAAAATAATAAACATAATGATAAATATGTTTTATAACTTATTACAATAAAATTTATCATTTCTTAATGACTATTTGTAACATATCTATACATATAATAAAATAGTGATAATTGTTAAGACTGTTTGTATTTCTATCTGAATTACTTCACGTCTTAATAGGTGTATGTGTTTATGACATACCTTTCATAACCAATCAGCAAACAATTTTCAATGTCATTCGGTAACAAATATTTTTGTGATCTTATCGTAACATATCCTTCAATTAAGTATCGATCATTTGTATTCACTGCTTGTACAGTATATTATATATATATGTATATGTACATATATTATATATATATGTATATGTACATATATATATATATATGTATATATGTACAGTATATAAATATCATAAAGTATTATATCGGTTACTATGAATCAAATGTTAAATTATAAAGGTTTATTTATGTTATTAATTGTAAGTTAATATACAGTACAGTATTTGTAATAAACAGTATATTGTTGTAAACGTTATGCAATTGTTATGTTTTTAATGTATTTATATAATTGTATTCGAAAAACATTTATGAATAAAATAACATTTATATTTCATTTAACACAGATTAAAAATAATTATCTTTCAATAATTTTGGTTTAATATAAATTTATGTTAAAAAATTTTCAATATATTTATGTTTAATCTTTAAAACTGCTCAAAAAATCATGATGGTAATAAATAAATTTATATATATTTATCAATTTATTATAAGAAGTTAAATTAACGTCAGTTTGTAGTTTTTGTTTAAAATATTGTGACAGATATAACTAATAATACTAGTAAAAATTGACATCAATTTATTTTGTTTTAGCTTCATTTAATTTTTATATTGGATTTAATTATAATATGAGCTGGGGACAATCATAGTAACGTTAGCTTTTTTATATATATTATATCTAATTATTAATTTTATCCAAAAGTCAATTATTCATAAAATATACGACGGTTTAAGCTAAACGAGTAGTACTATGACTTATCAGGTTCAAATATTACTGGATTTTAAAGTATTAATAAAAATATCTAACCTTACTATGATTGTCCCCAGCTCATATATAAAAATATTGTACAGTAATGCATATCATACGTCATTGCTATAAAATTAGACATTGAAAAATGTTTTTTATTTTGATATAAACACTAGCTGCTTCATTATACTGTAAATGTTTTTAATTATTTCAGTATCTTTTAATAAATCTTTATTTTAAAAAATGTTTGTAAAAACGTTTAAAATTTAACTAATATTATATTATTGTCATTGCGTTTGTTGTATACATATGGTACACGTTATGTCATTGTTTTATACGCTAAACATTTACTTAATCTGTATAAATGATATTATAATAAAATGTTTCTATGCATTGATTTTATGGAATATTTTTCGTATCAATATTTAAGGAATCTTTTGATATGCTTTTAATGATTTTAGATCCGTTCAAACAATCAAAAACACATATTTTGTATTTCTCAAGGGATTTGCAAAATATGTTGAAAGAGTTTTAAACTAAAACTGTATAAATTGAAAACCCATTTACACATTAAATACAGATATATACAGTGTTTTATAAATTTTAAATAATTAAAATTCCATATAAACTACAAACTCTATACAATTATAAAACATGAAACATAAAAATACATTTATTTGTATATTAAGTGTTTTGGCGATAATAAGGGAAATCGGCGGCGAATGCGGCTATAA